AAAAAAAAAAAAAAAAGAAGCACCACTCAAATTACCATGCGAGGACTGAGCAGGGGAAGTGGAGACCGCGCGGACCGAAAGAGGGCAAAAGTGTCTTTCAAGCTGAAGAGCCTGTCTAGAGGCTGGAGAGATGAAGCCAAGGTGCCGCCGGAGTAGGGAGCGGCGGTGGCCGTTCGGGACCAGACGGTGGCGCTTGGGAATCCGAGCAAGGCGGTGGAGTGAGCGGGAGAAGAATCTGGCGGAGACGAGTGCAGAGGAAGGAGATGAGGAGAATGAGCGTGTGAGCACCACTCTCTCCATTGGCGCTCGGGAGGAAGGAACTAATGGCGGAGGGTTGAAGAAGGAGATGAATGAGACTTCAGAACCTGGAAAAAGAGGATTTATGTGAGGCGATAATTAAGTTAAATAATAAAATTATAATAATTGTTAGATATTTATCTTGGGGCAAAAATAATATCAATGGTATCAAAAATTATCGGACTGTTTTCTTATGAAGAAATCACATGGCAATGAACTATTAATGAATAAGTATAAATTGCTCTATAAATCGAGTTATCTAATGACTTCATAGCAAAATTGTCAATGGTATACTGTAAGAGCATCTCCAATGTGACTTTTGACATTATAAAAATTCATCCATATCATCAACTTTTGAAAGTTTGTTACTAATTTGTTCTCCAATGCATCTTGTCATGAGCTCTTTCAAGATGAGGTGGATATCATTTAATGTTGACAATGTTGAACACACTTTCTAATATCTAACACCATGTTAAACATGGTGACTAATTAATTCACTTGATATTTTATTTACTTTTTTATTTTTCTTGTATTAATGATTATTTTAATTGGTCCACCTATACAAATAACTTCTTATCAAATTGATGCATTGGAGATCATAATTTGATTCAAATTTCTACTTTTTAACATTATTCCTAGTTGGATTAACATTACAATCATTGATTGACATGTGTTAAAAGTTATAGTCTTTCAAATGTGTAGCATTGGAGATGCTCTAAGTGTGATGTTGTCTTGTGAACTAATTAAAGAAGTGATAAATTTTATTTCTCCACTGTTTTTTTTTTTTATTTATGTTTTTCAAATTTTTTCCTATTTAAAATAAAATATTTAAGATATTTGGACCAGTGTTGCTAGACAGCCACAGGCGGACCCGGCCCGTGGACCCAGACCGAAACCGGTACTTGACCGGCCCTGAACCGGCCACCTAAGGGCCGGTTCATTTAACCAAACCGTGAGGGTTGCGGTTCGTCCTGGTTGGCGCAATTTTATTTTTTTGTCCTGACGGTCAGTACCAGGTAGGGGTGAGCATGGTGCGGTTTGGTGCATAACCGCACCGAACCGCAAAAAACCGAAAACCGAACTTTTTCATTTACCCAAACCGAACCGCACCGAAACATGTAGAAAAACCGAACCGAAACCGCACCGAAATTTTCGGTTCGGTGCGGTTCGGTTTCGGTTAACCGCAAATTTAA